TTTGTGTGGAGGCCAGATTGGAGGGAGGCCAGAGATGTGCAGAGACCAGTTGGCAGGCAACAGTCCAAATGAGCGATGATGGGACTTAGGCCAGGGTGGCTCTTCCAAACTCCCATAGCTAGTCAGTGTCGGGAATAAACAGATCTTGGGTTGGATTTCCTTGTTCAGTGCACTTCCCAATAGTTTTGGAGGAGGGACGACCGAGAACAGAGTCAGACCTGAGTGTAGGGAGGAGGGCATTCTTGCAGTTAGGTGGCCTGGTGTGAGGAGTCAGAGCCCACAGAGGGCTAGGAGAGCATCTGCAAACAGAAAGGATAGGATTGGAGATGGGAGATTGGTTCACAGAGGGGAACCAATTAAGTATGCAAATATATTAATGAAAAAGGAAGCCAGTGTTCTCACTGTCAGAGAAGGGAACTACAAATATGGAATGGGAGAAAATTAGATTGAACCCTGTGGTGGTGTTGGACTGGACTTGGTGTACTGGTGCGGATCCATGGTCATATACATAGAGATATACAGATATAGATATATAAAAATCAATTTAAATGTAGTGTATGTAGGTATACACACATTACTGTATTTACATATATTCTCTAACTCTGTCCATTGAAGGCCTGGGAGCAGCCATACCCCAACAGCAATGCATATGTCTCGTGCAGGACTCCTGGCTTCTGATTTCCATTTTCCACTAACGGAAATCAAGGCTCTTTGGAGGTATGTTCCAGAAAGCAGGAAAGTGATCAAAGAACACAGGGGATATGTCAAGGAGACACAGAAACCACAGAGGCTTGAATGGGCTGCCGCTTGCCAAATCAAGGACAGTTTGAGCATCAAATTAATGACAGTACCAAAGTACAACCCACTGAATAAAACAGGAAACCAAGAATCTCTACTGATATAAATGATTACATTGAAAGTTTGATGAAGAATGAGATAGCTACAGAGTTTCAAAATGCCTCCTCATAAATTACTTACTAATTGCAAAGAGGAAAAAGAGTAAAGTTACAGAGAAGAAGCCTGACAGATACCACTTTAATAAAGTAACCTAAATGAGCATCATCAGTAATGGAATAAATTGAAAACATGTGCCAACTTATAGGATGGGATGAGAAGAGTACAGCATCAATTCTGTGATCGTCCTGCGAAGATACATCATCTGAATCCAGACATGAGGAAACATCAGAGAAACCCAAGTTGGGGGACACTTTATAAAATAATTGGACTTTAGTATTTAAAAATATCAAAGTCACAGAAGTCAAGGAAAGATTGAGAAACTATTCCAAAATGAAGGAGGCTAAAGACACATGTTAAGATGAAAAGTGTGATTCTGAACTATATCCTTTTGCTATAAAGATGCTGTTGGGACAATTGGAGAAACTTGAATGGAGTCTGCTTAGTAGGTGATAGTAGATAGGGTTGTATTGTGATTAGGAAGGAGAACGTCTTTG